GGGTTATAAGAGCCTGTTTAAATGTTGAGGGAAAAACACCAGTGTGAAGCGATAAACTTCAGGATAAACAAATAATGCTTCATACAATATCGTACGTGGCATCTTTATTGTTATGTCAGACCTTTCAGACATATGTGCATTACACTGGCTCTTTCACCATTGTATGTATGCAAGATATTTTATGTTCACCCCATGAACACAATGAGTTTACCAGCTGTTAACAGGACGCTTTGTTAAGTTAATCATCTATCTGAACGATCGGGCTATGCTGCTTCCTCAATAAACTTTATCATTCTTTTAAAGTTTATCATTGTTTTAATCCTAGTCAGTTTAAACATTATAGTGTTTTAAGTCATTCAAGCGTGAGACAATGCTAGAGACTTCAATGCGAGTACCAAATTGAGCAAATGCACACAAAAATTATGTCAGAATCACTGTCTTGACGAGTATCCACGTAAACACCTATTGATTCCGACCCGTTCTTCACCCCAAACCAGCGGGTTCAGGATTTCTGAAGTACTGCTCAGTCCCCTGGCTGCATCGGCTGAAATGCATAAGCAGTGAGACTTATTATGGGCTCAACAGTACTTTTAAGTTCGTATTTCTCAATTTCAAAGCAAGCGTGCATTCAAAATGTAAAGAAATGCTTATATTACTGCACTGGCCAACGGAGCGAACCAACCCCGTGACGTCACACGCTGAGGTACTGCAGGATGGTGGTGCCCTTGCTCCAAAAGTTATAGCAAAACATCCTTTTTTCTTTAAAACAGTTACATTAATCGTGTTTAAATGTTGAGGGAAAAACACCAGTGTGAAGCGATAAACTTCAGGATAAACAAATAATGCTTCATACAATATCGTACGTGGCATCTTTATTGTTATGTCAGACCTTTCAGACATATGTGCATTACACTGGCTCTTTCACCATTGTATGTATGCAAGATATTTTATGTTCACCCCATGAACACAATGAGTTTACCAGCTGTTAACAGGACGCTTTGTTAAGTTAATCATCTATCTGAACGATCGGGCTATGCTGCTTCCTCAATAAACTTTATCATTCTTTTAAAGTTTATCATTGTTTTAATCCTAGTCAGTTTAAACATTATAGTGTTTTAAGTCATTCAAGCGTGAGACAATGCTAGAGACTTCAATGCGAGTACCAAATTGAGCAAATGCACACAAAAATTATGTCAGAATCACTGTCTTGACGAGTATCCACGTAAACACCTATTGATTCCGACCCGTTCTTCACCCCAAACCAGCGGGTTCAGGATTTCTGAAGTACTGCTCAGTCCCCTGGCTGCATCGGCTGAAATGCATAAGCAGTGAGACTTATTATGGGCTCAACAGTACTTTTAAGTTCGTATTTCTCAATTTCAAAGCAAGCGTGCATTCAAAATGTAAAGAAATGCTTATATTACTGCACTGGCCAACGGAGCGAACCAACCCCGTGACGTCACACGCTGAGGTACTGCAGGATGGTGGTGCCCTTGCTCCAAAAGTTATAGCAAAACATCCTTTTTTCTTTAAAACAGTTACATTAATCGTGTTTGTTATATATATTTTTTTAATTAAAGTGGAAGTCACTTTACTAATGTAAACTTGTCTGACTGCTTCACCTACCCTTTAATAATATAAGATTGATGTGGTTTGGAATTGGTAAAAAAAATGACCAGAATATCAACTTGCATAATAAATATGCATGCACTATATACATAGATCATATTTTCCCCTCATACTGATGCATGGTTTTATGCACTGCAGTTCAAATCGTGAAATCGCGTTTGGTCTCGTACTGTATCGCGTACCTTGTCAGTGTCGTGCGCTTTGCTTGACCATTTGGTGTGATAAACAGGAAAGTGTGTTCAAGCTCCAGCAAAACAGTAAAGAAATACTCTTTGTGAGAAGCAGTCAATCAGCAGAAATTAAAAGCAGCTTGTAAGTGTATTTATTGATTGTCTCAGTGTTTAGAGCAGTTGTCGTTGCTAGGAAACGCTTGTTTTGTTTACTGTGGAGACGTGCTGAAATCACGTTTGGTCTCGTACTGTATCGCGTACCTTGTCAGTGACGTGCGCTTTGCTTGGCCATTTGGTGTGATAAACAGGAAAGTGTGTCCAGCTGAATTTAATTTGAGTTTTGTTAGACGAATATAAAAAGCTTAGTACACCACGGCAGCGGTCGCGGCAGCCCTCGTGTGAAGACCGAAGAGTGTAAAGACCATTGACTCTACCGTTCGACTCCACCGAGCTGGGACACCGGCAAGGGACATAAGTATCGCTTTTAAATCATTCTCTTTCCTACTACTTGTTCCCCTTCTGTTTTCAGTTTTTATAACCAATTCTTACTATGTGTTTCCAGATCCCTACTATCACTACCACTCACAAACCATGCATCACACACTGTAGGCAGCGCAATCCTAACAACCTGCGCACTTTGCCTATGTCTACTAATACACTACTTTCTTTTTCTATTGGTCTCTGGAATTGCCAGTCTGCTGTAAACAAAGCAGACTATTATAATTCTACTTTATCTATATTTATCTTTTTCATTTTTTTTATTTAAAAAAAAAAAAAACACTAGCTTTCTGTTTTCTATTCTACTTGTTATTCTTTGTTTGTGTGTGTGTGTATAATATATATGTGTGTGTATATATATATATATATATATATATATATATATAATAAAAATATAT